ATATCAAGCCAGTAGTCAACCAACACCCCCAGGTCCTTCTCCGCCAGGCAGCTCTCCAGCCACTCCTCCCCGAGCCTATAGCGATGCTTGGGGTTTTTATACCCCAAGTGAAGGACTCTGCACTTGGCCTTATTAAAGCTCATGCCATTGGCCTCAGCCCAACGATCCAGTCTGTTCAAATCCCTCTGAAGGGCCTCCCTACCCTCGAGCAGATCGACACAGCATCCCAGCTTGGTGTCGTCCGCAAATTTACTGAGGGTACATTCAATCCCCTCATCCAGGTCGTTGATAAAGATGTTGATAAAGTCACATTGAACTGGAAGAATTACGCCAAGATGAGATGCAATCCAAAAAGGACAAGTGCCAGATTTTAGACCTGGGCAGGAACAGTCAACTCTGGAAAACACCAGGGACCCAATAACTGCCTATGGAGCAACTCTTTGCCAGAGGAGAACAGCCTGGACAAAGCTCAGTAGTGTCAGGCTGCCGCGGGAACAACCATGAAGACAGATGGACACGGGAACAGGAGAACAGCCTACAGGACAACTGAAGCAGTCAGCCCTGCTCGCGCCTAGCTGGAGTACGTGGTGCCATCTGGGCACCACATATACTTAGCAGAAAGATGTGGTCCAGCTGAAGAGTTCAGAGCAAGCCAGTAGGAGTTACTGGAGTGCAGCAGACATGTCCTGTTGAGAAAGGCTGAAAAAATAAGGTAGGTTGGTCTAGAGAACGTGAGACCAAAGATGGGAGACAGAACAGTACTCAAACACAGGAAAGACTCTTGTAAGAGTCTAAGCTGTGGCTGCCCCATCCCTGGCAGTGTTCAAGGCCAGGTTGGATGAGGCTTTGGGCAACCTGGTGTAGTGGAGGGTGTCCCTGTCCATGGCAGGGGAGTTGGAATCATAGCATCACAGAATCATCTGATTGGAAGAGACCCTCAAGATCATCAAGTCCAACCATTCACCCTGCACTGTCAGGGTCCCTAAACCATGTTCCTCAAACCAAATCCACACGGTTTTTAAACACCTCCAGGGATGGGGACTCCACCACCTCCCTGGGCAGCCTGTTCCAATACTTCAAAACCTTCTCTGTAAAGAAATTTTTCCTGATATCTAACCTAAATTTCCCCTGGTGTAACTGGAGGCCATTCCCTCTCATCCTGTCATTCATAACGTGGGAGAAAAGACCGACCCCCATCTCCCTACAACTTCCTTTCAGGTAATTGCAGAGAGCGATAAGGTCCCCCCTGAGCCTCCTCTTCTCCAGGCTAAACAGTCCCAGCTCCCTTGGCCGGTTCTCATAGGACAAGTTCTCTAAATCCTTCACTAGTTTTGTTGCCCTTCTCTGAAACCACTCCAGCACCTCAATGTCCTTCAACTATGTCCTCAACTAGATGATCTTTGAGGTCCCTTCCAACCCGAACCCTTCTATGGTTCTATAAGAAGGATGCTGTCCTCCTTGCCCACAGTAGGTAACGGGATTAAATCCAAGTACAACTCAGTTGAGGCAGTTCCAGCACGCTTAGCCTGCCTCAGCACGACTGTCCTGTGTCATCTGAGTTGCCTTAGGCACAACTCTGGCTCCTGGCCTCTGCTTTGCAGCTCTCGAAGGACACAAGTCTCCTGTAGATCTTGTCACATCCGTCAGTGGAGACACCTTGGATATCCTAGTGCCTCTAAAACAGCACCACGAGCCGATCTGCAGGCTGCTGAACTGAGCTTTCCCAAAAGCAGTCTGTCAGGAGGAACAGCCAGGTACTAAAACAGACCGAGGTAGGCGACCAAACTGCCATCACCATGGGTCCCTACTGCCCTTTTTCTAGGAAAACAAGGCATAATTCACACAAATGAAGATATCAAAGAAAGCTGGTGGCATTTATTGGACTCTACACAGACTCTGAAAGCAAGCCACATCTCTACAGATTTTAGAATCATAGAATGGTTAGGGCTGGA